TGGGAGGTAATGGGGGGTGGGAGGTAATGGGTGATGGGGGCAGGGGTCAGATACTGGCAGTTATATCACATGTTATAAATTCTGTTATAATTCTTTTTTATGTTACAAATTCTGTTAAGATGGCTTTTGGCAGGGTGCGTACCGGTATTCAGAAAAAAAATTCCATGACTTTTCCATGACCAGGTTCTAGTAATCTTTGAATGTTAACTGAAAAGAGAACTTTTTCAGAACATGTACAATATGTGTATCAAACATACGCATCCACTTGTATATTTATTTGATCTCACAATTTTATTATGAATCCATTTCTCCATGCTGGTTCCAAATGGAACCGCTCGGCATTAATGGGTTAACACACGCAGCATAGGAAAACACTTTCTTTTTTCTCCATTTATTTGCAAATTCCATGACTTTTATATAACTTTTAATTAAATCCCATGACCTTCCAGGCCTGGAAAATGAAAAGTCAAATTCCCTGATTTTCCAGGTTTTCCATGACCAGTACGCACCCTGTTTTAGACAACATGTGTATCACACAAACTAAATTTTCTATGTCAAATAGTTTATGAATTTTAGGGTTTTTTTGTTAAAAAATGAAAAATGGTCAAAGTTACCCCGGGATTCAAAGTAACCTATATTTTACCTTACGGTATCACACACTATACAACATATGTATCACCCAGTTTTATTATCACCCAGTTTTATACATATTATACGGTATCACCCAGTTTTATACATATTATACGGTATCACCCAGTTTTATACAACATATGTACAGCACACTATACCTATATACTGGCAAGAAAGTCATTCACCGCGCATTTTTGCTAGATATTTCACGCTCCATCTCTGCGAGTCGCCCACTTCTTGTCTGTTCTACTTGGGCACCAAGTAGAATAAAAATACTAAACAATATTGTAATATATAATATAATAATAATTAATAGATATTGGGCACGAATAAATAAATAAAAGAAAAAATTAAAGGCACCATCTCAGGTGCCTTCAATTAGATCTTTTACAGGACACAAAGAGCCTCACACAAATGGCGTCACACAAAGAGCCTCACTCAAATGGCGTCACACAAAGAGCCTCACACAAATGGCGTCACACAAAGAGCCTCACACAGATGGACCTCACACAAAGGGCCTCACACAAAGGGCCTCACACAAAGAGCCTCACACAAAGAGCCTCACACAGATGGCCTCCACACAAGGCCCCACATATACACCCTGGGCCCCACCTTCCCTGGCGTCCTCCTCCACGTCGCTGAGGCCCTGGGCCATCATGTGGGGCGGCAGGAGGGGCAGGGCGAGGGCCTTGCGGACCACACGCCCCGTCAGGTGGTCCGTGTGGTACAGCGACGCCAGCCCCAGCACCTGGGTCCTCTTCCACACCACCTGCGGGAGGGAGGGGGTTAAATATGGGGCGTATGGGGGGCCACAGCCTGCATCTATTTGGGCCACGAGACCCAGCGGTGTCGGTTGTCACACTCCCCGTCCCGCGGGCCCTAGGCTTTACTGCACTAGTGCCCCCCATGCCCCTCCCCCGCACTTGTACCTTCGAGCATCCCCCAGCATCTGTAACCCCAATCCCACACCCCCTGCCCCCCCCACCCGTACCAGTACCCCTGAGCACCCGTAACTCCACCCCTGTCACCCCAGCACCCCGTCACCCCCAGCACCTCCGTCACCCCCGTCACCCCCAGCACCCCCAGCACGCCCAGCACCCCCGTCACCCCCAGCACCTGGGTGTAGTGAAAGAAGGACCCGGTGACGCGGGCCTGGGGGAAGGCCCTGGCGAGGACGCGCTGCAGCGGCAGGAGGAAGTCGCACACGAGGAGGGCGGGGGCGAGGGCGAGGGTCTCCTTCAGGTGCTGCACGAGGGGCGCCAGGTCCTGCTCCGTCCTGCCCCCCAGCAGGCAGTAGGCCGCGGGCACCGTCTGTAGGGGAGGAGGGGGGTCAGTGGCCTGCAGGGGAGGTCAGCGGCATGAGGGAGCTGGATCAGCGGCATGAGGGAGCTGGATCAGCGGCATGAGGGAGCTGGATCAGCGGCATGAGGGAGCTGGATCAGCGGCATGAGGGAGCTGAACCTTAACTACTGGGGAAGGCTGAAACACCTGGAACTGTACTCACTGGAGAGAAGAAGGGAAAGGTATATCATACTGTACACTTGGAAGATGATAAATGGACTGGCTCCCAACTTTGAGAGTGAGACCTCCAAAATAATGACATATTACAACGAAAGAAAGGGGAGACTGTACAGGATTCCCCTATTTAATAACCGAGCCGCGGCCAGAGTACAGACTCTTCGGACAAGTTTACTAAGCCCTTCAGTACAGAAGGGCTGAAAGTACCTAAGCCCTTGATGATAGCGCCGCGTACAGAAGGGCTTAGTTCGGAAGTAAGCCCTTGATGATAGCGCCGCGTACAGAAGGGCTTAGTTCGAAAGTAAGCCCTTGATGATAGCGCCGCGTACAGGGACCACGGGACCACGCACCTGACTGCTGACGGGGACGTGCAGGGACCACGGGACCACGCACCTGACTGCTGACGGGGACGTGCAGGGACCACGGGAACACGCACCTGACTGCTGACGGGGACGTGTAGCGTGACGAGGCAGCTGAAGAGCCCCGGGACGGCCCTGTAGGAGGCGTCGACGAAGAGGACCTTGCAGTGACGTGCGTGGGCCCCCACGTCGGGGGACACGAACACGAGGCTCTGGCCCGCGTCGCTTCTCCTGCTGAAGAAGGGCGTCCCGCGCAGCGTGGACATGTACCTGTGGGGGACGGGAGGCGTTACAAGGGGCGTTACAGGCGGCAGGGGGGCGTTACAGACTGTGGTATACAGACACGTCTCTAAGATGCGTGTGTATACAGTATTCATTGTGTGGTATAGAGACTCGTGTATGAGAAGAATGACTTGTCTAACCACACACCTGCTGGGCAGGTCGCGCAGGTCGGCCAGGCAGGTAGGCTGTGTATTATGATGAAGTGTATACAGTATGTATTGTGTGGTATACAGCCTCGTGTACGAGATGTATGACCTGCTTAAGCACGCACCTGCTGGGCAGGTCGCGCAGGTCGGCCAGACAGGTGGGCTGCGCAGGTCGCGTGCGTCGCTGTGTCTTGTAGAGCGCGTTCTCCAGCGCCCGGTACTCCAGCGTTGCATCAGGGTGTCTGCACGTGTTGGGGACATGTTAGGGGCATGTTAGGGGCATGTTAGGGACATGTTAGGGACATGTTAGGGGCATGTTACGGACATGTTAGGGGCATGTTAGGGACATGTTAGGGACATGTTAGGGACATGTTAGGGACATGTTACAGGGACATATTAGGGGCATGTTAGGGGCATGTTAGGGACATGTTAGGGGCATGTTAGGGGCA